TACAAAGCAGGTCATGTTTCCCAGCTATCTTTTTCCTTTTTTTCCGCTCTATTATGAGCACTGCTCTGTTTAAGCCCTCGCAATAGTAGGCATACTAATAGCAATCATATTTCCATCTGTTTCAAGATACGAATATTTGGAAGTACATATCTACAGAACAAAACCGAGATGTGATCACAAACTGAGCACTTACGAGCAATATACTTCACCCGCAGCTGTTTTTCAGTCATTCATATCCCTCATGTCCATGTCAGAGCTACAATTCTCCTATGTTTTCGTCCTTCTTTTAGTGATTTAGACATTGATGACGATGTTGCAGTGGGTTTGATCTTTTTGCTATTTACACTTTGATTTGCATTTCAATTTATTAATTTTTTTCACTTAACTGCAAATTAGAATAGAAACGGTATAAAAAGCACCCAAACATACTGACAGTTATCGGTACTGTACATTGTTATGTGTCAATGATGCTAATATTCAGCAAAAATCCTTCAATTTCCCCTTCCTGGCGGTTCTTTCTATGAATGAATGATGTAGAAGCTCTGTCCATGCGTGTGTCCTCGTTGGTAGTAGCGCTAGATTTCATTGCACAACAATTAATCTATCAGGCTTTTTGGCTAAAAAGAGAAATCACGGTTTAATTGTTATTATTAGATTGTTTTTCACGTCTCCTATGAGGCGACTAGGCTAACCTTGCTTCATTTTTGATTCAATTATTTTCAAATCGTTGTGTATTATGTTGTAAATATACCCCTGTAATGCATACTGCAGTCCTTTTTTTGTCTAGCTTTTTCGGATATTTCTCCCGTTCACCAAAAATGACTAATTATCATGACACTGACACTGGTGCATACATATTGTAATAGACATGCCAGGCAAGAAAGCTTGACAGGTGTAACAACAGTAACCAATGAGGGCGGGGCTTAGCGAAGGGAAAATCATCTATCAGTCTAAACCTGAATAGTGAAAGTGAAATCATATTTAGAGAGAAAAAACAGCTGATAAACATTGATATTAATGAACTGGCCTACACAGAGTCCAGACCTGAATATTATTGAGGCACCATGGGATTACCTGTAAAATAAAATATTATAGAGGCACCATGGGGTTACAAATAAAATAAATAAACTTTAAAATAAGTTCTTGCTTAGATTTAGCTCGTTTTCTTTTTTCTTTTTCTCTCTAGGTGACTCTCACACTGCCTATAATATTGCCTATACACACTATATAATGTTCAGGTCTAGACTCTGTGGAGGCCCTTTCATGACTACCTTTGTTTCATCAGCTGTTTACAAATATGATTTCATTACGTTAGCAGTGTGTTTGGGATCATTATCATGTTGAATAACAAAACTATTACAAATTAGGTGCTTTTCAGAGGTGTAAAGAGTACCTGAAAACCATACTTGAGTAAAAGTACAGATACCTTACTGTAAAAATGACTCCATTACAAGTTACAAGTCACCAATTCCAAAAAGACTTGAGTAAAAGTATTAAAGTATCCGATTTTTAAAGAACTTAAATTGAATGTAGGCTCAAAGAACACCAAGAAAAGTTTTATTTGCTAATATAGAAATTAAATTGAACACCTCAATGTTTCAAAATGGCAGAACAAAATAGATGATAAAAAAATAGAACAAAAAGTCTCAAACTCAAATCTTCAAAATGGCTCAAACAATTAGAAAAAAAAGAGGTAGTAAAAAACAGAGCTGACTTTCACGTGATTCACCTCACCGTCTCAAAGGGGGGCAATACTTTTATTTTGAGTAGTTTTTCAATTGATTAAGATGTTTTCTCTGTATTAATATTAAACAATTAAACAAAGAGGATCAGTGTTATTTTGCAACTTAGTAAACTACATATAAATTAAATGTAAAATACATCACAAACTCACAGCTAAATGCACCTGATGTAAAATGTATAATATCAGTAAAACATTTATTCACGTTGCACAAAAAAAACAAGCTAAAACATAGTCATGTCATGTCACAGTGCTTTTTGCCATAACAGTAACTGTTTTAAATTCACTTAATTCACAATAAAGTAACATTAAATAGACTCTTACTTCAAAGTGTTTTCTCAAACTTAAATTACGATAAATACTTAAAAGCACTTATTTTCGTGGCGAACAAAGTAGACATTGGATCCTGTAAGAGCCATTCTGCATATCGGCAAATGAAAACATTTCTTTCAGATAAGGCCATGGATGGTCATCAGTGCCGACTTGTCTCGCACAATCACAATGTAACGAGTAACTATAAGCGTCCGTTCAAATGTAGTGGAGTAAAGACTACATGTATTCAATCAAAAATGTAGTCAAGTAGAGAGTAAAAGTTGCATATATTTTTAATACTCAGTACAAGTACAAAGTAGCCAAAAAAAATACTCAAGTAAAGTAAGTAAGTCCATTTACTTAAGTACTTTACACCACTGGTGCTTTGTAGGTAGAAATCACACAACGAATTAAAACCTGTCTGTGCTTTTCAGCATATACAATCTCATTATTTCGGGCAATATTAACAACGGCTCTATCAGAAAGGCAGATCTAACCAAGAAAGCAACTCCAATATTTTTCACTCATTCTTCCATCTCTCTCTAGCTCTTCTTTTTTTTTTTTACATATGTCTTAAACAATTAGACCCAAAAAATCCAACTAGAATCTGTACTTTCTGGTTGTTTTTAATAAATAGAATGAAAAGTAATGTATAATGCCATTTATACCCTCATTAAAACAACTAATATTACTGTGGGCCTTTTGCACTGTTCTGTGTATATCTTTTCAAAGTGCTAACTGACTCTCTCTACTCTGCACAGGAGAGCTTTAATGTTCTGGACTGCGGCATCTACCGCGTGATCAGCCGAAGAGGCAGCCAATCAGACGATGACGCCAGCTCTCTCGCCAACCAATCAATGCTCGAGGAGGAGCGGTTGAAGGAGTTCAGCTTCACCGAGGAGGAGCAGGTGGATAACGGTGAGACTGAGAGAGACTTACAAACTAAAGGGGAAGTAGAAGAGTTCGGCTCTCTCAGTCTTGAGTTTTATACAGGAAGTACTTGATTTATATTTCACTAGTGAACAGAAAGGGATTTTTTAATTAACGAGGGCATAAAACTGCACAGAACTTGTAACGCGTGTTAAAATGTGAACATTTCTCTTAGTTGATTCAGTTATCCAGATTTAATCACAATATTAAAGGAACACTCCACCTTTTTATGAAAAAAAAAGTTTCAAAGTCTCCATGGATTCAAGGTGCCCTCTGAAACCACTGGATCTCCTGAATTGTGCAATATCACTCCGCCTGGTGAAGGGACAGTACAGCAACAGCATTTCTTGACTATTACGCCAGAATGAGGGTATATTTCCTAAAAATATTGGCCAAGAAAATAGTCATTTTTCATTTTCCGTCAGTTTTATTACATGATTTAACTACAGAAGACTCGAGCTTTAAAAGGGACAATTATCAAGACTCATTTATTCATTCATTTTTATTCAACTTAGTCCCTTATTTATCAGGGGTTGCCACAGCGGAATGAACCGCCAGCTATTCCAGCATATGTTTACTCAGGGGATGGCCTATCAGCCTAACCCAATACTGGGAAACACCCATACACTCTCGCATTCTCTCACACACACACACACACACACACACACACACACACACACACACACACACACACACACACACACACACTCACACACTCACACGCGTGTTTGTTTTTGTGAAAAGTGGGGACATTACATAGGTTTCCATTCATTTTTTTACTGTCCAATCTGTATATTATATTGCCCTCAACCAACCCCTAAACCCAACCATCACAGGAGACTGTGTGCAGCTTTACTCTCTGTTTAAACTCATTCTCTAGGATTTATTAGCATTTTGAGAAATGAGGACGTCACCAATGTCCTCATATTTCACCTCCTTTTTGTAATACCTGTGTCACACCCATGTCATTATACAGATTTGTGTCCTGATATGTCACAAAAACACGTACACACACACACACACACACTCATACACTATGGCCAGTTTAGTTTTTCCAGTTCACCAATAGCACCTATAGTGTTTGTGTGGTGAAAATCAGAGCACCCGGAGGAAACCCATACCAACACGGGCATCAACTGCTGACTGACCCAGCCGGGACTCGAACCAGCCACCTTCTTACTGTGAGGCAACAGTGCTAACCACCGTGCCCATTATGAAAACTTTTCTTTGAAAATTTTAAACAAAATGCTAATGGTCTAATCCGATTCAAGTCATTATGCTAAGCTAAGCTAAAAGAACAAGAAATCGGCTGAAAGTATTAAAAATGGTTCAAGTCAACTGTATAACTTTAAAAAAAAAAAGGTGAAGCGTTCCTTTAAAGAACATAATAATGGATTTCTTATTTTACCTTATTTTTATTTTGGATTTTATTTAATATAGGATTTGCAACATTAGTCATAAAGAAGCAGGGCATATATTTTGATAGGCTTATTTTTACCTTACAAATAACGTGCACAAATAAATTCCATTTATTGAAGCAAACTGCAATCAGAAAGAAATCAGTATTATTTCATATTTAATAAAGTTTTAATGCTCATCATCATGTGGACCGATGAGATTTTACTTTGTGCGGAGCTTTCAACCAAAATAAAAACCAAGTGACAGATATTGGGAACACTTTAAAATAATAATTTAGTTAATGTTAATTCATGTATTTACCATCATGAACTGATAATGAACAATATTTATGCAGCATTCATTAATCAAACAATTACGAATGCACATTTAAAATGCTTGTTAACATCAACTAATGCACAGTAAATGAGTTGACATGAACTAATAATGAAGGACTTCATTTTCATTTACTTGCTTTAACAATGCTGAATAAATACTGCAATATATGTATTGTTCATAGTTTGTTATTGCTAATAAATACATCAACTAACATTAATAGATCGTTATTTTGTTCCCAGATATTGCTGTTCGTTAATGCCTGATTATAACTCACAATATCCTTTAGGGCTTTTGAATGATGTGTTTTAAGTGGTTTTACAGCAGTATTTGTTTGTGAGTGAGTGTGTTGTGTCAAATATTGTGCAATAAAATACCTTCAAAACATGAGCGAGCAGCAGTTTAATCATTTCTCTGCTTTATCCGGTTTTGTCATTCATCTTTTATCATGCAACATTCTGTGCTTTTCTCTGCGTCTTTTCTGTATTTTCATCTCTGTTTCTGCTCTCCTGAAGACTCTGCGTCTGTGCGTGGAGAGGGCGACCGGTCTGACCTCGGCTTGCAGTTTCTACCATTGCCTTTCCGCTCAAAACCTCCACGAGTCGCCCTGCAGGCTGTTCGAGACAGGTACACACACATACACGCAAACACACAGAGAGAGAGAGAGACATACAGTTGAAGTCAGAATTATTAGCCCCCCTTTGTTTAACAGATTTAGGAAACTTTCACAGCATGTCTGATAATATTTTTTCTTCTGGAGAAAGTCTTATTTGTTTTATTAATTTTTATTTTTTTAAACACCATTTTAAGGTCAATATTATTAGTCCCCTTAAGCTATATTTTGTTTCGATAGTCTACATGACAAACTATTGTTATACAGTAACTTGCCTAAGTACTCTAACCTGCATAGTTAACCTAATTAACCTAGTTAAATCTTTTTTTTTTAAGATTTATTTATTAGATTTTTTTGACAGTTAACAAAGTAAAAAGAGACAATAACAGTACAAACAGAAAAAAAAATATATATATATAACAGTACAACATTGATAAAAAATAAATAAATAAATAAACCACACTATAACCCTCATATTGTGCGACACACAGTATATGACATGCATAAACACTATATAATGTGCATAAATCAATTTTCAAATTGATCATATAAACAGGTCTGTACCAGACGTTGAGGTTGACAGCATGGTGTATTAAGTAAAATAAACAGTAATAATAAAATAAACAAATAGAAAAAAATAGAAAAGAAATTTTTAAAAAAGCGAGAGAAAAGGGAAAATGTATTAAACTAAATAGGCTGGGGGTGGCACATTCTTAACTTGTGGTTTTATGTCAAGAAAAAGTTGTATGTTCGTGCTATATCACCAGCACTAATACTCAACTGGAAGCACAGATCAAAATAAAAATGCAAGAATGGCAACCATTCACTCCACAGTAATTGCCTCAAGTCTCAGAGATTTGACATGTTCCAAAAAAGGCAACCAAATATTAGAAAATTTGACCACTGAACCTCGAAGACTATGTTTAATTTTTTTCTAATTTAACAAAAAATAAGGCATCTTTAATCCACTGAGTATGGGATGGGGGTTGAGGAGACTTCCACTGCAACAAAATGCACCGCCTAGCTAATAATGACAGAAAAGCTATTAATTCAGAAAAATAAAATGGTAACTCACAGTCAGGGGGAAGAACTCCAAACAGGCCAATTAACGGAGAAGGATCAATATTAATAGATGTAATTTCTGAAAATGAATCGAAAACGGACTCCCAAAAAGGAAACAAAGCCGGACCGGTCCAAAACATGTGAACTAGATTTGCATGTTCAGCATGACATTTGTCACAGGTTGGATCAATAGCAGGGAACATGCGAGCCAGTTTACACTTAGACCAGTGAACTCTGTGAACTACTTTGCACTGTAGAATCCCATGGCGAGCACATACAGATGATGTATGGACCTTTTGTAAAATTGTTGACCAAATATCTTCTTTTATGTCTATGTTAATGTTAAGATCCCTCCTAGTTACATCTTTAAATGTCACTTTAAGCTGTATAGAAGTGTCTTGAAGAATATCTAGTCTAATATTATTTACTGTCATCATGGCAAAGATAAACTAAATCAGTTATTAGAGATGAGTTATTAAAACTGTTATGATTAGAAATGTGCTGAAGAAATCTGCTCTCTGTTAAACAGAAATTGCGGAAGTAAATAAGCACACATAGACACACAGAGACTTATACACACACATGCAAACATCAACATACACACACTTTTGGGGACATGCCACAAGTGTATTGGTTTTTATGCTGTACATTCTCTCGTTATACACATTTGTAACAAAGACATACAAATAAACACACACTCGCACAAATACGCAGACACAGTGACGCACAGACACACTCTCACACACTCACAGTTACACACACACACACTCAGCATACAGATTTATACACACTAGACACTCACACACCGATATACGCACACTCTCACACAAGCACACACTCACTCGCAGAGAGATACACAGAGAGAGAGATGCACTCATACACAGAGACATGCAGAGAGAGATGCAAACACACACTCTAGCATACAGATTTACACACTCACATTCAGACAGACTCGTACACACTCACACACACAGACACATGGACACTCACAGACAAGCTGACTTACAGTAACGCACACGCAAACATAGACAGACTGACACACACAATCACACACACACACACACACACACACACACCATACAGATTTACACACATTAGACACTCACACACAGATATACGCACACTCTCACACAAGCACACACTCACTCGCAGAGAGATACACAGAGAGAGAGAGATGCACTCATACACAGAGACATGCAGAGAGAGATGCAAACACACACTCTAGCATACAGATTTACACACACTAGAATCTTTCACACAGATATACTCACACTACCACACAAGCACACACTCGATCACAGAGTCATACACACAACGAAAGACGTGCACACATGCATACACACAGAGAGAGATGCAGACACATGCACACAGAAATAAAGGTATACACACACACACACACACACACACACACACGTGACATGCCCATTCAGATTTACAGATACACCTACAGATATACGCACACTCACACAAGCATTCACTCACAAAAACATACACACAGACACACAGTGACATACATTCTCACACACTCGCATACAGATACACACTCACATTCAGACAGACTCGTACACACTCACACACACAGACACATGGACACTCACAGACAAGCTGACTTACAGTAACGCACACGCAAACATAGACAGACTGACACACACAATCACACACACACACACACACTCACCATACAGATTAACACACATTAGACACTCACACACAGATATGCACACAAGAAACATGCACACACACACACACACATACACACACACAGACATTTTCACACAGATACACGCACACACACACACACACAGCGAGTTACACACTCGCATACAGGTACGCTCACATACACACTCACTCACAGAAATGCACACATAGACAGACTGACACACACACACACTCACCATACAGATTTACACACATAAGAAACATGCGCACACACACACACACACACACACGCACACAGACAGACATTTTCACACACTCCTATACAGATACATGCACACACACACACACACACACACACAGAGAGTTACACACTCGCATACAGACACACTCACTCACAGAAATGCACACTTAGGCAGACTGACATTAGCACACAGTCACACACATAAACATCTGCCCTCCAAAGTATTACACACTAATAATTTCACTTCCTCCTAAAAGTAACACTTGATATATTCTGTGCTCTGATTGGCTGAATCACAAGGAAGCAAACCTCCAGTGAAGAATCACACACTATTTGAATGCACATTATAATGCAGCTGCTCTCGCACAGAGGTTATTTTTAAAACGGCAACTTCCTGTTTCATCGCATGTCACTTTGGGCTTTGTCTCATTGTCTCATTGCTGATGCGTTTGATTGGTGAGGTAAACACTTTGCTATTTTCCATATGCATTAAGTAACCTGATGCTTTTCTTTTGCACTGCCATCATCACTCAGCGTTGTGTGTGTGTGTGTGTGTGCGTGCGTGCGCTTTATCAGTGTTTCCAGCTTCATGAAAAAGACCACAGAGAAGATCAACACTCTTCAGATGAACGCTGACCTTTGGCCTCGGCCTGACCTCCGGGAGGGCGTTCAGGGTGAGGTTGCTTCCACAGCGAGCCCCATTTCCGAGGAAAGCGAGCAGGAGTGAGTGCGTTTCGTGTTCTGACGCCCTTCTGATGTTTTCTGACTGACGCATTGTGTTGAGGGTGGTTTGTGACGGTCTCTCTCTTAGGTTAAACACTGAAGAGTCCAGCTCTGAGTCTGAGCTGCTGGAGCTGAGAGCCGCTACTAAGAAAGCCATGTGAGTGCCACTTCCTGTTGTCGTTTATTTATTATAATGACTATAAGCTATATCAATATTTGAATTAATATTTGGGTGCTGAGATATATGAATGAGAGATGTTAATATGCAGCTTTTTATTTTTGTTTGTAGTTTGTTTTCTGAAAGACATTTTACATTAGGATTCATTCATTCATTTTCCTTCGGCTTAGTCCTTTTATTAATCTGGGGTCGCCACAGCGGAATGAACCGCCAACTTATCCAGCATATGTTTAACACAGTGGAGGCCCTTCCAACTGCAACCCAGCACTGGGAAACACCCATACACACTCATACTCTACGGCAGGGGTTTTCAAACTGTGGGTCGCAACCCACTAGTGGGTCTCACGGTGAACAAAGGTGGGTCGTGCAACGTCAAATAGCTGCAGCTATATTTACATGGTGGTGAATCGAAACCAGTACGATTGACGGCAATAACTCAAAAACCTCTTACCCTAAAAATATCTAAAGTGTGTTTCCTACAAAAAGACAAAGCTGGTTATGTTTCACAGCTGTCTTTTTCTTTTTTTTCGCTCGACATTAAGAGCACTGCTCCGTTTGAGCCCTCGCAATCTGCATTTAGCTGGTAGAGCTCGCGCTGAGTGGAGCTCTCAGTAAGGCACCGTCGGAAAAGTCTTCTTTTTTTCGTTTTCTTTCTTCTTTTTTTTTGCTCCGTCCTGCGTTTTTTATTTTAAACACTACTAATTGTCTCTTAAATGAGCACAAACAGTTATTAAAGTAGTCGAATGCTTCATTATAGATCTGTGCATTCTTACATTAACACCTCTGTTATCAAACAAAACACAATGAGAGATTCATCTGCTGCTCTTCACTAAATAACTCTAGTAACTTTATTCAATATGCAAATACAATTAAAAGTGAAATAGATTTTATAGCTTTATTTTCTATTTAATTTCTGTATAGGCCATTGATTTTAATAAGCTAAACCTTTTATTTCATTGTCAATATTTTCTAATGTTTGCTATGTATTCTATCATTTGAAGCTATTTGTTGTCCTATATTTTTTTACATCCCAATGTTGACAGATTGCTAATCAATAAACAGCTATAGTGCTATCTGTTAGTTTTAACGTCAGCTAATGTTATGGAAGTGCATAGATGTTATGGAAAATAGTAATAGTAATGTAACATCCCCCATCATTCCTTCCTCAAGCAAATATTAGATCTATTCAGCAATAATGTTAACTGCTTTGGCATATTTATCTGACGTTTTCCCAGCTTGTAGTAGTCGATTAAAAAGCTATTTAGTTTCTTATGACTATACACTAGCAGTGGAGTTTACTGCGATGTGACGGGGCTTGATCATAATCACGGGGCTTAATCAAAGGTTGATCATATTCTCTTCTGAAAAAAAAAGAAGAGGATCTTTTTCAACAAAAAAGTGATCACATTTACAGCCAGCATCCCACAAAAAGCACTTCGAGCCTCATTTTGTGCATATCAAATCGCTAAATCCAAAAAGCCGCACACCATATATTTTTAACTGCTTTTAATGGATACATTTTTTACCTATTTTTCCATATTAAAATATTATGGTGGGATTTATAATCCGGGAAAAAAAAAGTTTGGGAATCCCTGCTCTACGGCAAGTTTAGTTTATTCAATTCCCCTATAGCGCATGTGTTTGGACTGTGGGGGAAACCGGAGCACACGGAAGAAACCCACACCAACACAGGGAGAACATGCAAACTGCACACAGAAATGCCAACTGGCCCAGCCGAGACTCGAACCAGTGACCTTTCTGCTGTGAGATGACCCAGATATATTTATCTATAAATTAAATAACGTACTTATTTTTACCAGGTCTTATATAAAAGTATAAGTGATCATTTGTTATGTTTTAAATGATTAAACCGCATAAGTTGGCGGTTCATTCCGCTGTGGCAACCCCTGATAAAGGGACTAAGCTGAAGGAAAATGAATGAATATATTTGAACTGATATACAGTGAGTATACATAATATTATTATTTATTTATTTGACATGGACATCACAATTACACTGGACAACCAAATGCATTTGTTTAAGTGTTTTAGCAAACTTGCTAATTCTCAACACCTGTCCAAAGGAGACTTAAAAATTGACAAAGTGGAAATATAATAAATACATATAGACAACATTACATATATTTACACAAAATTACTGAAGGCAAAACCAAAGGCGACATGATCCAACCAACTAACTGTAGACTATTTGTGCAAACACTGCTGTTTTGTTTTTAACCACTTTTTAAAAACTAAACCAAACTAAAAATATTTAGATTACTTTCTGATTTTAAGCTAACCGGTAAATCATTCCACAGTTTGGCTCCCTTTACAGAGAAGACAGATTGACCAAAGGAGGTCTTACAATTTGGCACTAGACAGTCACCATTAGCAGTTGCTCGTGGAACTCTGTCAGAGGTTTGATGCCTACTGATTAGATCAGAAAACAGGATTGGAGCATGCTTATTTAAACATTTAAAAACCAATTTAAGATAATTACATTTAATAAAACTATCAAAACTAAACATAAACAGATCCGTTTTCAAGTATTGTGTTTTTATGTTGTGCATTGAACATTTCAATTGCACAAAAATACGTGATTTATGGAGATTAATACAATTTGGGGTTTCTTAGTCGTTTTCAGAAAGCATGTTTTTCCAATAAGTGTTAAAGACAGAACGATTTCTAAAAATGATTGAACGTATGGGTAATTCTTTCTCACAGTCCGGTTTAAATTGTCTTCTCAAACAAGCCGGCCTCCACTTGCTGGCTGGCACCTGATTCACTGCACCTGTGCGGCAATGATGAAACCCATTCAGAGACAGAGGCGGAGAGAAGAGAACCACACGCAATACACACACAAAAGCCTCACTACTTAAGATATTTATTTATTTATGTTATTTTCATAATATTATTTAATTATTTAAAGAAAATACATAACAATTGAGATGTGGTGGAATTGACATTTGTTTAGTTCATGATGGAGAAACTGTTTTTTGTCTTATCTAAGTTTGTCCTCTTATGCTGTGTTCACACCAGACGCGGAAGGCGCGGATAAATCGCGATATTCGCGCGTAAATAGCCGCGTGAACATTTGAGTTTACTCGCTTCATACGCGCGTCAAACCCCACTTCATTCGCGTGTCAAATTCACTTCAGAACAGACGTGGATTCGCGTGATGGGCAGGGCTTCTGTCTGCCCGAAGACTCTAGCTTCGTAGCTAAATGGCTAACATGGATTTTATGAAGAAAATAACAGTGTTTATGTGCTTTATGAAGACTGAAAAACAGCGTCGATACGTTTAGGGTCGTGTCTGAGTCCACTACATCCTTTCAGAGGTGCCTCCAGCTCTGTGAGCTCATAAACTCCTCCAGAAACTGAACCTGGATGACGGAGGCTTTCAGCCGTGCTTCAGACTGAGCCAAGCCCAGTTTGATGAACTGTTGTCGGTGAAGGCTGGAGGATTTCCCTCGGAACACCGACAACAGGCGATACATCACAATCACGCCCCCACAAGAGCAAGCTTCTGATTGGTTAACGCGGCGCGAATGTACGCTGAAGTTCAGATTTTCGAAATCGAGAGATTCCCATGAAACGCTCGTTAAGCACGCTCAATTCGCCCCACGCCATTTGCGCAATTTGCTTTATTCGCGCAGTGCCATTCGCGCGTATCGCGTCGCAGGATGTCTATTCGCATGTTTGCATTGACTTAACATGTAAATCACTCGCGTTCCGCGTCTGGTGTGAACGCAGCATTACAGATCTTAAAACTGGACCAGGGGTGGCCAACCCTGTACTAGACAAATTGTTTAAACTTATGAGGCTATGTTACATTAATTTAGAACAAGTTTTTTTTTACTCAACTTCACAAGGCTAAAAGTGTTCGTAGCTGAAGAATGGCTCATATATCCCTCTGCAGCTCTCAGATCCAGGACCCGATGGTTTTACTGGACCCTCTCTGCCTCAGTGATGTGCTTCAGGAGTGGGCTCCAGTTCTGGAGAGAGCTTTGGGTCCGGAGGATCAAATCCTACCTGTAGAAACAACAAATCCAGAGGAGAAAACCCTGGAGGAGGAAGAGCTCGTCTCATCAATGTCTTGCTGCGTCGTGGTCCAACCAGAGATCTCAACATCGCCTGCTGCTGACCCAGATGAATCCGCAACCCACACTGAAGAAGAGGACTTTAGAGAGAGCACCCCCTGTTCCATCGCCCCAGTCCGAGCACAGTTCCCTCCTCTTGCAAACCATGTTGAACTCATACAGCTGTTTTCCCCCAAACCTCTGCCTCCTGACCTGCAGGCTGACCTCTCGCTGCTGGCCTGTCTGTATCTGGAGATGGGATGTCCCGGGAGAGGAGGGATGGAAAGCGTGTGTGTGTTCCTGAGGAGGTTCTTCTTCCTGTTGGACCAGGAAAGAGTGAGGAGGATGTGTATGCTGAGGTACAGGGAGAACCGTGAGGTGCTGAAGGCCTACATCGCTGGCATGCTGGGTGAGTTTACTGTACAGCAGGGGTCACCAACTTTTTGGAAACTGAGAGCTACTTCTTGGGTACCGATTAGTGTGAAGGGCTACCAGTTATTAAATAACAAATGTTTCTTAATTTACTTTTAATTATATGTGATTATTAATAATTAATAATAGTCATCTATGTGAAGACATTGATCATATTAATGATTTCTCACAGTAAGTCAACAATGATTTAACAAGTCAGATAAATATCAATATGCAACACTTCATTTGTCTGAAATCGTTTTTAAAGTTTTTTTTTAAATATATAACTTAAAGTAATTTTCAAATTTACACCAATGCAAGTGTGATTTAAAAAGAATACCTATAAAAATATTAGATGCAGCTTACTCATATGTGGTGCTATGGTGAGCTATTTTCTAGAACAGACCCGCGGGCAACTCATGTGAACCTGGCGGGCTACCTGGTGCCCACGGGCATCATGTTGGTGACCCCTGCTGTACAGAGATTAGCTGCAAAATTGGGTTTATCAGAGCAGTAGTAGTGCCTGTTGTTCTTTCCTGATCTCCTCTCTTTCTTCTATGTTATTTCCTGTCATCATACCATCGTGTCAAATAAATGCAAGATGCTAAAAAAAATCTTATATTAAAAAAAGGAAGGCTTTAGTACAGATTTTAAAGGCCCGGATAACCCAAAAATGCAAATTTACCTTCTATTCGCAAACCCTTAAAAAAATACTTATAAAAAAATGTATATACTATATATAATATGACTATATATATTGTTTTATAGTTTACTTATAATAAAAATATGGATTTTATTATAGGCTTAATAGGGCCAGTTCACCCAAAAACGAAATTTTACTTACTATTTGCCCACCTTAAAAATATATATTCTATCATAATTTACTAACAACTATTTACTTATACTTACTATTTATTTACTATTTACTTATATTAAAATGTATTGCATTTATTATAAACTAGAAAAGGCCAAAACTGAAATTTTACTATTTACCCACCCTAAAAACAATATTCTGTCACAATTTACTTACTACTATTTACTTATCCTTACTATTTATTTACCCACACAAAAATGTCATAATTTGCTTACATCAAAAAAATATTGGATTTATTACAGGCTTTAAGGGCTCAGTTCACCCAAAAATGAAAATTTACTTACTATTTACCCACCCTAAAAACAATATTCTATCACAATTGATTTATGTTAAAAAGTGGTTGGTTTATTACAGGCTTTAAAGGGCCAATTTACCCAATAATACAAATTTACCTACTATTTACCCACCCTAAGAACAATATTCTGTCATAATTACTAATGAATATAATACTGGGTTTGTTACAGGCTTTAAAGAGCCAGTTTACCCAAAAATCTACATTTACTTACTATTTAATCACCCTAAAAATAAATATTCTATCATAATTTACTTGTATTAAAAAGTATTGGGTTTATTACAGGCTTTAAAGGGCCAGTTCACTCAAAAATGATAAATTACTTACTATTAACCCACCCTAAGAACAATAGTCTGTCATAATTTACTTATTACTATTTACTTATAATTAATGTTTATTTACTATTTACTTATATTAAAATGTATTGGGTTTATTAAAGCTTCAAAAGGCCAAAACTGAAATTTTACTTATTATTTACCCACACAAAAAAAAGTCATAATTAGCTTATATTAACATTACTTGTATTAAACTTTATTTATTACAGGCTTTAAAGGGCCAGTTCAACCCAAAAAAAATTACTTACTATTTATCCACAAAAAAAAAAAAATATTCTGTCATAATTTACTTATAGAAAAAACATTGAGGTTATTACTGATTTTAAAGCGCCAGTTTACCCAGACCTAAAAATTTACTTACTATTTACCCACCCTAAAAATATATATTATATAAAAAAATATTGGTTTTAGTATAGGCCTTAAAGGGCCAGTTTACCCAAACCTGAACATTTTCTGACTATTTATACACTCTAAAAAAGTATTCTGTTATAATTTATTTATATTACAAAATATTGGGTTTATGACAAGTTTTAAAGGGCCAGTTCACCCAAATATCTACATTTACTTACTATTTACCCACCCAAAAAAATATATATTCTGTCATAATTGTATTAAAATATTGGGTTTATTACATTCTCTAAAGGGCCAGTTCATGCAAAAATCTACATTTACTTAGATTTGTTTAGCATGGTTAAATAGTAAGTAAATGTTCACTTTGGATGTTTATTCACTATTTATATCTTCCTTCATCTTGCATATATCCTGTCATACACTGAAAAAAGTGTTGCATGCAGAACTGTTGCAAACAATTTATTTGTGTTGAATTTAAACAAACAAATTAAGTTTAATAATGTTCAACTTAATTTGTTTGTTTAAATTCAACACAAATAAATTGTTTACAACCACTTAACTTTAAAAAAGTAAGTAAATCCAAGGAATCATCTTTGGATAATTTTTTTCAGTGTAATTTACTCGTCCTCCACTGGTTCCAAACATGTTTTTTTCTTCTGTTGAGCATGAAGGAAGATATACTGAAGAATGTTATTTTTATTGGATACATTTTTTACAGAAAAAAAAACATGTTTAGAAAATTTATGTAAAATCAGTCATTTTAGGCTTAAAAAAATCATAAAACTGTTGTGTGAAGTTGTGAAGGGACTGTCTGATCTTGTGCGGTGTGTGTGTGTGTTCAGAGTTCACTCAGGCCAGTAAAGTAGTGGAGGTGATCCAGAAGGGGGATCTGCTGAAATCTCTGCGCAGTTTAAGAGAACTGCAGCCCTGGAACGCTCCTCTGCTCCTCTCACACCTCTACAGGTCAGTTTATGTACACTACATGACAGAAGTCTTGTTGCCTTTCCAAGTTTTAGTAACAACAAGTAATAAGTTGACCTCCAGTTGATCATTTGGGGTCAGAAGTGGCTTATATGAAAGGTAAAGGCCTCTAGATGACGCTTATTTGACCAAAATAAAATATGATCATGCCTTGATTTTAAATAATTCAATCAGGACAGTAAGGTCTGACTCTGCTTAGACTAAAGTCTCGTCACTGAACAGAAATAATGTCCAGTATAGAATATAAAGTCCTGCTGCAGTGGAGACAGAATGAATATTGTGTCTGACTCCATCATGAGCTTGGAGGACTGCATCCATAAATCTCTGCACTGACTCTCATCACTGATTAATAAAGTCATCTGGAATGGCAAAGAGTTCCAGAGTTCATCAAGATGCCTTGGCTTCATCTTCAATGCCTCCTTCGTCATCTTACCCCAGACATGCTCAATAATGTTCATGTCTGGTGACTGGGCTGGCCAATCCTGGAGCAGCTTGACCTTCTTTGCTTTCAGGAGCTTTAATGTGGAGGCTGAAGTATGAGCAGGAGCGCTATCCTGCTGGAGAATTGTCCCTCTCCTGTGGTTTGTAATGTAATGGGCAACACAAATGTCTTGATACCTCAGGCTGTTGATGTTGCAGATCTCTTGCACGCCTCCATACTGAATGTAACCCCAAACCATGATTTTTTTTTTCACCAAACTTGACTGATTTCTATGAGAATTTTTTTTCTGTTTTTACTACAGGCTTTATGAGAAACATGGAGAGGTGGCTGTTCGAGCATACCCGCAGTTCTATCCCACAATCCTCCCCTCTGACATCATGGCCATGGCTTTACCCAGCCACTTCCTGCCTTATTTGGACAATTTAGTCCAGTCACGGGCTGAACAGCAACGGTATGGCCGAGTTACATTTGTACATACATTGTGACGTATGCTATAATCTGTTATTTTGTCTTCGACCAGGCTGTCGTTTTTGGGCTCTCTTCTTCAGCCAGAAACTCTGCGTCAGGATTGGCTGGAACTGGCGCTATCCCATGATGCTCCACAAAGAGAGGATACACTCACTCATGATGGACAGCCCAGGTACAGGAAAGAAATATAATTTTAAAAAAGTATGAGCAATGAGAAATCTGTCATGCCTGTAAGTTTATATGTATATACATGGCACTTTGAGGTTTTTGCATCTCAACCCGTCATATATTTTATTTTCGTTTGTTGTATGTATTGCATAATTCTTATTATATAACTTTGTGAATATATCTATCTAATTTAAATATATTTATTCAGCTATTTACTTCTATGTAAGCTAAATATTGCAAACAAAGTGTTATTTATAATATTTATTTTCCGACCACATTTATTTCGGTGTCACTGACTGTCCCGTCTCCTGTGCTGTAGGTGGCACTCTCACTTCTTCAGCTGGGGTTATGGGCGTCTGCTATCTCTGCTGATCCGCCTGCCTGCTGATCTGGCCTCTAAACAGAAGATGCTGGACATGTGTAAAGCTCACGGGTGAGTCTAGAGTAAAGGCCCGTGCACACCAAGACGTTTTTTGCTCGCGTTTTACGTTTAACGCCTCGTGACTAAATCAATGTGATCGTGCACACTAACGCGCAAAACGCCAGGCGCAAAAGCGTCGTTTTAAAAAACACCTCATGCTCATTTTGTTGTTTTCATGCGCGACGTCAAAACCTTCTCCACCAATCAGGTTGGCACTTTTGTTCACGTGCACGGAGCTGCTGAAGTTACAGTAAACAGCACTTGGAGGCGCTCAAACGCAAAACTGTCAATGCGAGCGCACATTGAAGAAGATGCCCAGAGGCGATATGAACGTGGAGCTGCTTATTGCTCTGGTGAACACTAATTATTTCTTCATCGCTAGAGCTGGAGCTGCTGCTTGAATTATCCATGCTAGTTTGAGTCACCAGTAACTTTAACAACAAACATGTGAACTTCCTCTCCTCCTCTTCTTCCGTGTTATAAGCGGGTGTCAGAAGCTTAATGTTGTGCAGCTCCATCTAACGTCAAAAGAGTGATTTTGCATACTCTTCAGCTTGACGTCAGTGAAGATCGCTTGGGTTTGAATACTGAAAAACATCTCGTAAAACGCTGACGATAATCGCAAACGAAAAGCGTCCCGGTGTGTAGGACCCTTTAGACTGGACAGATTTGAGTGTGAATGGGATGCTGTGTAACCTGTTATTCGTCTGTTAGGTATTGGATGGGTTACCTGTACCTGTGCAGAGAGCTGCAGCGGCGGGCCGAGGCCTTCAGTGCCATCTGCAGACTGGACGACATGACACTACTGGAGGGGGATGATGGTACTGCAAACACCAGTCTAAATCATTTACTTTAAAACAATGGTCTTAAACTCAATTCCTGGAGGGCCACAGCTCTGCACAGTTTAGCTCTGAGCACCTTGATTAGTTGCATCAGCTGGGTTTGATTAGGGTTGGAGCAAAGCTGTGCAGAGCTGCGGCTGTCCAGGAATCCAGTTTAAGACCTATGCTTTAGAAGAACACACAGAAAACACATAAGCACAACGACTCTCATTGGTAGAGCTATTTCAGAAAAAAGGGGAGGAGCCACTTAATTTGCCCCACCCTATTTTTACATTTTAGGTAAATTTACATCACACGTCAAACAATACTGTGGAGTTCAAAGCACTTCAGGGGACCTTTTAAATGTAAATTCCACGAGTGTAAAACCCTGGTGGACAAAAAGCCAATCAGAACACCAAACAGACTGTTGCGTGACTCATATTTTGATGTAGGTCATAGATGATCTGATTTAAGCCCTGGTCAGATCACGTTTTTACTGTCAGTTACTAATACGCCAGATTATATATTTTTATATAAAAAATATAAAAAATATTAATTAAATTATATTTAATTATATTAAATATAATTTATTTATTTTTCCTTGATTAAATCTTGACTTTTCATGGGTAACAAATGCCAGACTACACATTCCTTCACGATCAGTCATCCGTTAAAGTCAACAACCAGCGTTATTTCCCAAAGCAGTCACAAGTGTTGCTAAAACAATATTTCTGAATATCTTAATTTAACATTTTTTAATCTTATTTCAATCTTAATAAGTGCTGATGCTTGCAGACAACTAATAACTACATTATTTAAGGGCGTTCGTTATGACATGGATAGGATCAAACTTACGATTTCTTTTTAATATTAAGGTATTTTCTTTGAAATCTAAATGTATATTTTCCTGCCATGGGTTGCTTATTAAACACTTGCCTGAACTTGCTGTCAGAGAGATTGAGAAAATGAAAGCACATCAGCAGCAAGGAAAAATCAGATGCTCAAGACATCATTTTTTAAATAATTACATATAAAAAAAATTAGCAAATATATGACAGAGGTTTGTGATACAACAGTTACAGTGAAGCATTCATTCATTCATTCATTTTCTTGTCGGCTTAGTCCCTTTATTAATCCGGGGTCGCCACAGTGGAATGAACCGCCAACTTATCCAGCAAGTTTTTACACAGCGGATGCCCTTCCAGCCGCAACCCATCTCTGGGAAAAGTGAAGCATTCATTACATCCCTATTTTCCACAGAGCGAAACAAATCAGCCACCAGAATAGATGAGTAGTAGAGAGGCACACACAAAAATATAAATCATATATTTTTCTTTGAAAAAATATCTTTCTGAAACGAATTTCGTTTTGTATAATTTGTATCTTAATTTTAATGTATCTTTTGTTAGTCAATTATCTATAAACAAGAGTAACGAATGACATTTGAGATGGTGCGCTTCAAAACAAGTCCGCTATATGCACCAAAACACGAATTGCCGTGAGATTTTGCTGCTTTGTTAAATAAAATAATAATCTAGCCTAAATGAATTAAAGTGAAATGTTCACAGTTTCAGAGAAGCCTACATTGAACTGTTTTCACTATTAATGACAAATCTGAATAAGCAGGAAATGCTTTTGCAATGCCTTTTGCACTAAATGTGTTCCCAGATTAAGGCTGATTTATACTTCTGCGTCAAACGCCGGCGTATGCTACTGCGCTGACGCATAGGCCTTAGCCGTGGCCGTCGGCGTCGCTGACGTGCACCTCTCAAAAAATGTAACTACACGTCGCAACGACGCGTAACGCAAGCTCTGTGATTGGTCGGCTTGGTAGCGCTGACGAGTCTGGGCGGGACCGAGAGCTGCGTGAATGGTGCGAGCCTGATGGAGCGATTGTTTACAAGTGTGGAGTCCCGTGAAGGAGCTCCGGATGGAAAGTTTTGTTTTGTGTTTACCTCATTGTTAAAGTTGTTGCACGTCCGCCAGGTTCCTGCCTCAAAATGAGCGAATTTGAGCCACTTGTACAATCAGGAAGTGTTCAGGAAAAGCAAAACAGCAGCGAAGAAACTCGACACAGAGGAACATTTACACCTCACTGCCAACTAGCGTTTCGGAAGTGTTAATGCAGACCAACAGAGACAGCGCGCAGAGGTATAAATGCACAGCTATGCTCGTTGCATGCGCCGTGGGTTACGCCGGTCACTTGACGCAAAAGTATAAACCAGACTTTACTCAGAAAAACAAACTCTGTTGGAAGGATGAAAGAACTCAGAAACTCGTTTTGAGAATGGAGATGCATATTAGTGCCAATCTGTCAGAGAAAATTGCTTAAAACACTTTATTATTTTAGATAAGATAGTTAAAGTTTGCATAAACAATGATTGATCTCATCCACACATGATCCACCCATATGTAAATATGCAGCCTATTTTTTGATTACCTGAACAGCGCATTAACGGCAGCACCTGCTGAGATAACCGAGAAGTTATTTACACTTATTGCAGTGTCACCCACGTGACGGAACTCGTCGTGATGAACGAGAAAAAAATTAAACATGCTAGACTTTCTGCGATGGTGTCGTGAGGTGTTGCAGGCATGCTATCGGTTGTCATGAACTATACCACATTACATGAGAAGAAATGATTGAATCTTGAGTCACGACGCCCATTTGACGTTTACGAATGCTCACGCACCCTACATCAAGTAAATTGTGCAAAAATCATGACAAATTTTTGTGATCTAATCGGGACTTTACATGTTGCACATGGAATCAATAATATTTACACCCCAGGCTTCTTTTTGACATTATAACAATGATAATTTTCCTCCCTTATTTTTACGTTCATCAAAGGTTATATTAAACTCAGCATGTATGCGGGATGCTTATTTTGAAAATCTAAAATTTCTCTTTTTTTTTACCAGGTATTGTTCCTCAGTCTCTGGATGAGTGGGTTTTGCTGCTGCAGCTTTCTCAGCAAATCAGTGCAAGTGATGAATCATCGTTAACTTCGACAAAAAACAGCAATGGCTCATGTTTGGATGACGCTAACAGTAATGGTGACTGCTCTTCTGGCCTATCAAACGGTTCCACAGACTGGAGCATTCAGGTCAGTCCGGAGAACATCATCCTGCGTTTGGTGCGAGTCTTCGGGCCGGACCGAGCCCTGACAGCCCTGCAGGAGCATGGCATACCAGTTGATCACAGTTCACGCTCCACGCTGGTCTGTGATCTGCTGCGAATGGCAGAGAAACGGCAAAGGTGAGCGAAGAACAGATAGTTATTCGCCCTCCTGTGAATTTCTTCTGATTCAGATGATTCCCAAATGATGTTGAGCAGATTCAGGAATTTTTTACAGTATTTCCTAGTATATTTTTTCTTCTGGAGGAAGTCTTGTTTTATTTCGGTTAGAAGAAAAGCAGTTTTAATTGTTTTAAAAGCATTTAAAGGTCAATATTATTAGCCCACTTAAGCAATATTAGTTTTGAATTGTCTCCAGAACAAAACACTGTTATACAATGACTTGCCTAATTAGCCTAACTTTACCCTAATTAACCTAGTTAAGCCTTTAGATGCACTTAAAGCTGAATACTAGCATCTTAAAGAATATCTAGTCAGATATTATGTACTTTGGAATATCATATTCACTATATTTTTATCATGCTGTAAAAAGAGACTCGTAATCTAAAATTAATAAGGTAGTATTTTTTTTAATTAGTTGGCAGTGTCCAGTATAGTCTACTGCTTTAGGAAAGTAGTAGGCAGACTATAGTAGGTACTGCATGTTAGATTTAATTGCTTTTAAAAAATAATAGGCAGTGTACAGCATATGCTTTGCAGTATAAAGGCTGATTTATACTTCTGCGTCAAACGCCGGCGTATGCTACGGCGCTGACGCATAGCCCTTCCCCGTGGCCGTCGGCGTCGTTGACGTGCACCTCTCAAAAATTGTAACTACACGTCGCAACGACGCGTAGCGCAAGCTCTGTGATTGGTCGGCTTGGTAGCGCTGACGAGTCTGGGCGGGACCGAGAGCCGCGCGAATGGCGCGAGCTGGACGCGAGCCCAATGTAGCGATTGTTTACACGTGTGGAGTCTCGTGAAGGAGCTCCGGATGGAAAGTTTTGTTTTGTGTTTACCTCATAGTTAAAGTTGTTGCACGTCCGCCGGTTCCTGCCTCAAAATGAGCGAGTTTGAGCCACTTGTACATCCCGGAAGTGTTCAGGAAAAGCAAAACAGCAGTGAAGAAACTCGACACAGAGGAACATTTACACCTCATTGCCAACTAGCGTTTCGGAAGTGTTAATGCAGACCGACAGAGACAGCGCGCAGAAGTATAAATGCACAGCCACGCGCGTTGCATGCGCCGTGGGTTACGCCGGTCACTTGACGCAGAAGTATAAATCAGGCTTAATACTATTGCATTCAGATCAAATAGTTGTACAGTATATGCTGTATAGTGTGCTAATATTCTAGCTTGATTGAAAGGTTTTTAAGAAATAATAGGCAGTGTACAGTATATACTGTGCAGTTAGGCATGGGACAGTAACCGTTTTCAAGGTTTACTGCGGTTTGGAAAAGTCAAGGTTTTAAAATCGCCAAATTTTTCTGCTATACCATTCCTAAGGTATGTGTAAGATTATGTATGTATTTATTTTTTATTTTTTTTATTTTTTTTGGACAACAGTATCTTCAGCAGAAAAGCTATCCAAAGATGCTATTTAAATTGTACAGAAATCAGTGTTTTTGAAAATAATGAAGACAGCAGAGGTCAATGATTCATTTTCATTATTTAGCCTGACATGTTTAATGCTTTAAAATATATTAAATGTTACACAAAATAAGATGTATTGTGTTCAAAGGGGGGAAAAGTCTTTGTTTTTTTACCCAGACATTTAAAAAGAATATATTTAAAGTAGTAAACACAAAACTGTGAATCCGGGATATTTTTAACCAAGGTTATCATACCGTCAGAATCTTATACCGGCCCATGCCTATGTGCAGTTTAATAGTATACCGATCCAATCAAATAGTTTTTTTTAATATACTAGTCAGTGGACAGTGTATATACTATATAGCATGCTAATATCTTATTAATATTATTACTCTTTTTAATATACTAGTCAGTATACAGTTTATACTGTCAAAGTCCCTTTTAGGCAAGTCATTTTACTTGATGGCCATCTTTCACACGCCTCTTAGGCAGTTCGCTCATGTATGCTCTCTGAATGGGGATACATCAAATTCTCTAAAACTGTTTGCCAAGCTTACGATGGGGTATATGCCAAGCTAATGTGTTTCCCATACTGATAAACTTGATAAACCTGTTATTGTGAGTTTTTTTCCATTTTATATGGTTCCCTGAACATGCCAATTCGGCATATACCCTATTACATTACATACATGGAATTGCCAATTCACTTAAATAACGACTGTCTCAGTTTCAAGTTTAATTTCTTTTTTTCTTATATTTATTTATATATTATATTATATTATATTATATTATATTATATTATATTATATTATATTATATTATATTATATATATTTTTGTTATTTTTTATTTTTTGCTTTCCAAAACAGTTCCAAACAAAACAAAACAAAAAAATAAATAAATAAATAAAAGAAATTAAAAAACATTTTTAAAGAACATAGAAACAAAAAAGACATACAATGCAGGTGTCTAAGGTCACCGAATACAATCTTATTTACATTTTTATTTATTGTTGCTATATAAAATTTTGTTTAGGGTTACATATCAATGATCAACAAGCTCTAGATGTGTATATTGGCTATATAAAAGCACCACAGTACAATTAAAACATTGCATTTCTTCTCAGCCATTTATCCCAGGATGCAGAAATTTTATAGGCTTGTTGTCTTAAGGAAAGTTTCAAACGTTCGAATCAAACAAAAGTAGTATTTTTTCAGGTTGCCCAAGCTAATGCACGTGCACACTCTAAGGAAACGAGATCATGACACCAACCTCATTTACAGCTGTTCTACACATTATCATTTTAGTGTTTTAGGTGTTTTCCCAGATATGGGTTGCGGCTGGAAGGGCATCTGCTGTGTAAAAACTTGCTAGATAAGTTGGCGGTTCATTCCGCTGTGGTGACCCCAGATTAATAAAGGAATTAAGCTGACAAAAAAAAGAATGAATGAATGTTTTAGGCGTTTGAGTAGTAGCAGTCATGTGATGTGCGTTTGACAGGACTGACTGTACCTCGCGTTGGTTTTATAAAGATTACAAAATCAAAAAAACTTTTGTGCTTAAGTGTAGTCAGTTAATTTAAAAGCACAGATTTTAAGCTTTATTTTGATATATGTCTGTGAAGCAAGTATTCGCTGAGATTCCAGTGTGTTTGTTAACCACAAAAACTGTTGTAAAAGCTCACGTCTGGTCTGAGCTTCTCCCCCGGAGAAACATCAGTCTGTAATGATTAATGATTGGCTCCTACACTAGTAGGCGGGGCTTCATTTACCATATTGACTGTTAGACTTTTCCCCATTTAAAACAATACGAGTGACACGTCTTGCGCATTATATAGTCTGTGATACTGTGTATTATGCTAATATCCCATTCAGATTCATTTTAATCTTTCAACATTTTTCAAAAAAGGAGTATTTCCTTATGATAATATATTTTAAAAATTAGTGTACTGAGTATACGCTTATAATCTGTTAATTTAAATAGTTGCAATTGTATAGTATCCTTCGCAGTATGCTACTAATTCAATCTGAACTACTTTTGAAAAATAATAAGCAGCGCATGGTATATAGTGCACTACATAGATAAATGTTTTTGTCCTTATTTATTTATAGTCTTTTTTGCATTGTTTTCTCCTTTCAGAGCTTTGATTCAGAGCATGCTGGAGCGCTGTGATCGGTTTCTGTGGTCTCAGCACGCTTGAGTCTCCTCCGCATCTGCCTTCAGGACAGTCATGTTTCATTCAACCGCAGGTCTGGGATCAGCTCTTGCGTGCAGCTGGAGATTACACAGCCGACTGTTTCTAGATCAGCTGATTTCAGGTTATTGGACACGCATTCCAGTCTTAACACAGATTCCTATTCATAGCTTTTTCACACCAGCACTATGACTGTATTGTGTTGTAAATGATGCGTGAATGTCACATGACGTGGTTTTCTCCTTATTTAGCTATTAAACACAGTATGGTGTTGAAACCGTATTAACTATGGGCCTTTTTAATGAATATAAAAAAAATCCATTTGTACATAAATGCTTTCCCTACATTTCTTGTGTTCATTATTAAGGCCCAGTATGCTGAATGCATTTCTATACATATATATTACTTTACAATGTGATTTTCATCTGCAAGTATTTGAGAACGCTAATAAGCACATAAGTTAAAAACTAACTAGAGTGTTCTTTAAATAGAGAAAATTAAAAATAATTGCAAATGTATTAACTAATGCCATGCGGTTTGGCTGGTTTAACTGGCTGCTATTAATAAAAAGCACAATAAATAGCAGTACATGCTAATTAAAAAACATGTCAAAAGTGTTGTTTCTTTGAATGCACGACTGAGACATTCAGATTTTCTTTTCCCTCTTCATGCATAAAATTAATATAACTTGGTAAAACATGAATTCATGTGGTAGATGTGCAATACACACTCACCGGCCACTTTATTAGGTACACCTTACTAGTACCAGGTTGGGCCCCCTTTTGCTTTCAGAACTGCCTTAATCCTTCATGGCATAGATTCAACAAGCTACTAGATTTAGCTCCATATTGCACGCAGTTGCTGCAGATTTGTCAGCTGCACATCCATGATGCAAATCTCCCGTTCCACCACATCCCAAAGGTGCTCTATCGGATTGAGCTCTGGTGACTGTGGAGGCCATTTGAGTACAGTGAACTCATTGTCATGTTCAAGAAACCTGAGATGATTCATGCTTTATGACATGGTGTGTTATCCTGCTGGAAGTAGCCATCAGAAGATGAGTACACTGTGGTCATAAAGGGATGGACATGGTCAGCAACAATACTCAGGTAGGCTGTGGTGTTGACATGTTGCTCAGTTGGTACTAATGAGCCCAAAGTGAGCCAAGAAAATATCCCCCACACCCTTACACCACCATCACCAGCCTGAACAGTTAATACAAGGCAGGATGGATTCATGCTTTCATGGTGTTGATGCCAAATTCTGACCCGACCATCTGAATGTTGCAGCAGAGATCGAGACTCATCAGAGCAGGCAGCGGTTCTCCAATCTTCTATTGTCCAATTTTGTTGTCCGGGTGTACCAAATAAAGTGGCCAGTGAGTGTTTGTCAATACATAAATATTGTGAGATGTGCAAGTTTTAATATCTTAAAAATCCAAAAGCATTGACTGTGCCATAAAGTTAGAATGAGCCTATAATTCAAGATATGAAAGCCAAAGATATCCCTGTATCATATAGTTCGGTAGTTTAGAAGTTAATGTTAAGTCATTTTTTTTGGCTCAATGTTATCAGTTTTCTTTAGTTTCACCAATGAAAAGACTTCCAAAGAAACATTTATGCATCTCAGAGTAAAGGCCCGTGCACACTGAGCCGTTTTTTGCTCGCGTTTTCTGTCTGCGTTTAACGCCTCGTGACTAAATAAAAGACGTCAATGTGTTCGTGCACATCAACGCGCAAAACGGCAGGCGTAAAAGTGTCATTTGAAAAAAAACGCCTCATGCTCGTTTTTTTTGTTTTGACACGCCGCGTAAAACCCTTCTCCACCAATCAGGTCAGAACGTGCACGGAGCTGCTGAAGTTACAGTAAACAGCACTGGGAGGCGCTCAAGCGCAAAACTGTCAATGGGAGCGCACATTGAAGAAGATGCGCAGAGGCGATATGAACATTTAGCTGCTTATTGCGCTAGTGAACAATAATCATTTCTTCATTGCTAGAGCTGGAGCTGCTGCTTGAAAATCCATACTTGTTACCAGTAACTTTAACAACAAGCGTGTGAACTTCCTCTTCTCCTCTTCTTCTGTGTTTTAAGCGGGTGTCAGAAGCTTATAGTTGTTTAGAATCCACTCCAGAATCTCGCCGGAAGTAAGTCATCCAGGTACATCTCGCATACTGATTTTCGAATTCTGTGAATTCGCACATACTACTCGGCTCGCATACTGATTTTAGCGTACTATATAGTATGGAAGTATGCAGATTCAGACGCTGCCCTAGTAATTGGAAAAAATTTAAATATACCCCAAATTTTTAAGATTATTATTTATTTTATTTTGGTCAATGATGCACACTTATTAATATTCGGAGAGTCTACTAGCAATTAATATATAATGTAGTGTTATATTTAAACTGTAAACTTCATCTAGCAATGTTCTGAGGGGGTTCTTCTACGGTAAATGGGTTTTTAAGTTGGCGATTACCTGTAGTGCCCTCTAGTGATTCTTTCAAGCACTGCAACATGTCTTAACCAACACATTGGGCCCTATCATACACCCGGCGCAATGTGGCGCAAGGCGCAGCGCAATAGTCTTTTGCTACTTTCAGCTCGGCGCAAGGGTCATTTTGAGGTGTTGCGCCACGCTGTTTAAATAGCAAATGCATTTGCGCTCAAATGTGCGCCCATAGGCATTCTGCTCTAAAAAAGCAGGCGTGTTTTGGTGCGTTGCTATTCTGAGAAACTGTAAATAGTCTGATCTTTAGACCAGAACAAAGTCGGTCTATTGTCTGGCGCAAAGTGCGCCTCGCTTACACACTACAAACAAGATGCAGAGCAATTAAAATATAAATAAAATAATATCATAATAATATCAATATATAAATAAAATAAAAATATATAATATCTTAAGGATATATATATATATATATATATATATATATATATATATATATATATATATATATATATATATATATAATAAGGATATATACAGGATATAAATATAAATGTTTAAAATATTACAAAACATATTAATTTCTAGCCTACATGAATTTAAAAACCACTGCCGTCATACTTTCTTCATCTCGGGAGGCTTTTTCAGTTCATTCAATTTGCTTTTGTATAATGTTATTATTATTAGCAGTATTATTTATTATATCCATATTTATATTTGTTTTATTAAAAACAAGCTTAGATTTGTACACCTGTCTGGTGTAAGACCATATGGGGCATGGCAGGTGTATTTGGAAATAACTCAGTATTTTCACCACACTTTGTTATTATTATTCATTTATTCGTTTGCTGGAAATTAGAACTGAATTTAGAAATAGTTTTGAAACAAATCTTTGCGCTTAACAAACAAAATTAATTATTTATAGGCTGATTGATGTCTGTGCGTAAAGGTTTCCCTATCCAAGAGCGAAAGCGAAAGTGAACTTGCTTTACGTCAAAATGCGGTTATGGCGCGATGCAGCTGGCTCTTAAAGGGAATGGGAGATGAGGCTCTAATTGGTTTATTCTCAAAACACACCTATAACTCATTAAGAAAATAAACTCAACCCCTTTAGACCATGTGCCACGGCGTAAAGCGGATTTTCCCGTCCTTAAATTAGCAAAAATGCATTCTGACACACCCCAAAAAGCTTTTGCTCCCTGCGTTTTGCGCTCTGCGCATGGACCGTCAAAATAGAGCCCATTGTGTCTACAAAACACAAATAATACAATATTTACAAGATTTCACATGAACATGGTATGCAGCACAAACACATTTATATCTTGCGCCAGCTTGGCACTGGTTTTCTCTTTATGTCCGCCAGGCGCGTGTTCCCGTCAGATGTGTCATTTTATCTGTGCGTTCGGCCTTTATAGTCATCAAACTGGAATCCCCGAAGTTCTCCTCACTTTTCAATTTGTCTTATCAGACTTTAGAAGCGTCTGTTTTTCTCTGTTGCTCCACTGACCTCTTTTCCAGGTGTGTCTTCTATCTGATCGTTCCTGAGCCAGCAGAAGTGTCATCCACAGGTGGGCAGAAAGCACAGGGATTACTGGAAACATTAACAAGTATAGCTGCAAGCAGAGTGCGAATTACAGGGGGTTTGGTAGGGGTCTAACCCCCTAATTAATGCTTGATCCCCCTGAAGGACATCAAAACAAGATGTATAGGGATGGTCTGCTCTTCAATAGTTAAGAACTTGTTTCTCTGATCTGTATCTTAAATAATAATAATAATTAAAATAATAGATAATTTCAATATACATTTGACCACCCC